TCACTATGTAGATCAGGCTGGCCTTGAACTCACAGAGATCCGCCTGCCTCTGCCTCCCCAGTGCTGGGATTAAAGGCGTGCACCACCACGCCCAGCAATAAAAATATTTTAAAAAATGAAAGGCTTTGCAAAACTGCGCATGAACTATCTCCACCTGGGGTTCTTTTCTCATGACTCAGGGTAATCATCAGTGTATTCTAACACTGCATCCCTGGTCCGAGCCTACAGCTCTATGTTGAGTAGCGGCCCTCACAAGTTCAGATTCTTTTTTTTTTTTTTTTTTTTTTTTTTGGTTTTTTTTGCAGGGTCTCCTTAGAGATCCGCCTGCCTCTGCCTCCCGAGTGCTGGGGTTAAAGACGTGTGCCACCATGCCCGGCTACAAGTTCAGATTCTTTAATGCACGAACTGTTCATGCCCAGCCTGTTCATGCCCAGCCACTGGTTTGGGGCAGTAGCAATATGACAAGCCACGCCCACTTCTGAGGACTCGGCCCCGGCCCTGCCCCTCCAGCTGGTCCCGCCTTGCTTTACGCTGAGAGTCAGGCCCCACCTCCACCCCTCCGCCTGTCAAACTTGCCCTCGTCCCGCCTCTCGCCGCTCCTGCACGTAGGCCCCGGTGCAGCCCGTTGTTATGACGACATGGTCGTAAATCCGCCATCTTCCTGCGGCGCGTTGCGACATGGAGGGCGCGATGGCAGTGCGGGTGACGGCCGCTCATACGGCAGAAGTCCGGGCCCCAGCTGGGCGGGATGCGGGCGAGGGCGGGGTAGCGGAAGCTACGGCCTTGTCCCCCGGCGGCTTCCTCGGGCTCCCAGCGGCCTTCAGCGAGGAAGGTAACCGGGGCTGGAGGAGCACAGCACAGTCGGGATGCGGGTGGTGCTGCCCGGGCCGGCGGAAGCCGGTGGGCCCGAGTTGCAGTTCACAGACCCTCCGGATCCAGGTTTCTCGAGTGTCTGCAAACCTTCACCGCTCTCACGGGCTTCCCTGCCGGCCGCCTCCCTCTGCTGGACCCAGGGGTACACTGCCATTGGCTCAGAAGACGCCCAAGGCTCCGGCCCCTCGGAGTGCATCCGGCCCAACGCTGCAGATCCTTCGCGCTCCACCGGCCTTTGGCTGCAGCGTCAGCCTCCTTGCTGGGGCGGAGCTGGAGCCTGGGGGCGGGGCCTCGAGGTTGCAAATATGGAACTGGGGGGACTCGGAGGCGGCAGAGCCTCCGAAGGACCTCCGTTCCCCCTACATGGTGGAGCAGTAACTCCAGGAATGTGCCGAGCACGCGTGATGTATCAGCTTTTACCATTCCTTAAACTGACCTTGAGAGTCGGACTATTATTACTACTCTTCACTTTAGGGATGAGGATAATTGAGGTTCAAGGATTGTAAAGTGGTTGGGTCACCCGTCTTGTTCCTAGAAGGATGGGATTGGACCCGGGACTGTGTAGCACCTTATCTTAGCCCTTTAATTTCTGGCTCGTAGGCGGATGGGGAGAGTTAAGGACACGCCTGTGTGCTGAGGGCTGTTTGGTTACGCTGAGGGTTCTCTTTGGCACTGATAGCTTTGGGAGATGGCTTAGGTCTTGTCTCTGAGCTTGTCCCACAGGGCTGTAGATCGGATCAGACAGGAAGTGGTTTGGCTAGTGATAATTGGAATGGGTGCTGCTCTTTGCCCCAACAGGAGTCATAGTCTCAGTGCAAATTTTTTTCTCCATTCTTCCAGCTTGGAGATAGGCAGTGACAATCTGAGTGGGGTCCCTTTGGAGGTTTTTGGGCCTGTCTGTGGCTTTGTCCCAGTGTGAAATGGACTGACTGTGCTCTTTTCTGGGTCAAGGGGCCCTTTCAGTAGCAATATCTCAGTGGGATGGATGGGAAGGGTAAGAGGGTGGTAGGCACCTGGGTGCTTGGTTTGCTTGGTTTGTAACTGTGAGCCATGTGGAAGAAACTTGCTCTTTCAGGTGGCCTGTGGGCAACTCATGGCTTGGGTTTGACCTTTTTTTTCCTTATTAATTTGTCATTGACCTGATTCCTCCTTTGTACTAGGCCTGGGTTTGACCATGATGTGGGACTGGGTGTGAGCTGATGGGAACTGGTAGGCTGTTATGGCGGCTGAGTGACCTTGAACCTCAGTCATTTTTCTAGGATGGACTTAGTCACCCATTTCCCCAGGGTCCTGGCATGATTAAGTTCTCAGGTGCTTATCACCTGGAAGTGTTTCCTGCAGGTTCTGGGACAGGTACAGTGATGGTGACAGGCCTAGATGCAGTGGACCTGGGATGTGGAATCCCCTGGAGTGCTTTATTCTTGTGATCTACTAGTCAGCAGGGTGCTACCCAATAGGAATCAGTGTCAGAGGGAAATGACAGCAGGGTGTTACCCAATAAGAATCAGGTCAGAGGGAAAAGAGTGGTTGGGGTATGGATATATTCCAGTGTTAGAATGTTTGCTTAGCATGTTCAAAGCCCTGGGTTTGTTCCTCGATACCATGCATATACATACACACAAAAAAATAGTAAATTTGATCAGGGGTGAGGGCCCCTGCTGGTCTGTGTTTTCTAAAAGCTGGCTCTTATCAAGAGCTTTGTGGACATCAGCAGGTATGCATTTCAACCCACTTTATCTTTATAGATGAGGAAATGACTTGGAGATTGTCATTGAGATGCTCAGGTGCATTGTTTTATTCTGGGATCAAACTCAGGGGTCTAGTATAGTATGCTAAACAGGTACTCTGCCACTGAGCTACATCCCGAGTTCCACCTAAAATCCGGGTCCTCTGCTGTTTCCAAACTGGCTTAAGTAAGTTCCTAAACTTCCTAGCCTCCCAGCACCAGAATGTGGGGATGCTGGGTATGACAGCTTCAGTATTTCCTTTCAGGGTAATTGTGTGTGGTCTTAGGTTTGGCCCTTTATTTCGTTATTAATTTGTCATTGACCTGTCTCCTCCCTTGTACCAGGCCTAGGCTTGACCTTGCTGTGGAACTGATTGTAAGATGATGTACAGGGTGCTTATTTCTCTATTACTTCTGCAGACCTCAAGAGGATAGGGTTATTCCCTGAGGTTTCCCAGCTCTGAATGTACCCTCTTCAGTGTGTTCTTAGAAGTCTCTCTGAGAGGGCAGAGGTACCAACTCTGGTTCTGATGCCATCTTTGGGTGTGTCTTGTCTCAGGCTAGAAGGGAAGCTGAATGAGGCCCTGATTTCCCCCAAACCCCCTAACAGCAGGCTTATTACAGATGAGGATGACGTGCATAGATGTGGCCGCTGCCAGGCGGAGTTCACTGCCTTGGAGGACTTTGTTCAGCACAAGATTCAGAAGGTCTGCCAGCGCACCCCTCAAGAAGCCCTGCCCACCATCCCTGCTGCCACTACATTGCTTGGCCAGGAGGTGAGCCTCTGCCTGCCCGCTACCATGCACACTCCTCTGGCTAGGCTCACCTGCCAGGAGGAGGAGGAAGAGGAAACAGAGTGCCTGGACCAATCTGTGCAGCTAGTGTCTGACATGTGGACAAATGGCTGTGAGTGAAGGGGGGCCAGGCTGTGCCACTAGGAGACAAGTGGTACTCTGTGGCTCCCTGGATGGCCTGGGGTGACTCAACCACTCAGCACCATGCACAGTTGGAGGACTGGGGTCCTTCCTTTCTTACATCTAAGGGTCTTAAGTAGAGAGATCATGGTTGCTTTTGTCTTTTTGCCTTATCTCCTATCCTGTACACATAGTTCCTGGAGAATCTCACAAAGCAGGGCCTCTTGGATCCTGGTACCTTGTTATAAGAATAGCCCACTTTGTTGAACCCCTATAATGTGCTTGGGGCTATACCCACATAATCTTACTAAATTAGCTTCCTTACCTGATGGATGTACCCATCATCCTCACTGAATAGAATTAAGAGGCTCAGGCCAGGCCTGGTAATGCAGGCCTGTAATCCCAGCTACAAGAGAGGCTGAGGTAGGAGGATTGCAAGTTCAAGTTCATCTTGGGTTGTAATGTAAGTTCAAAGCCAGCTTAGGGAGCAGAAACTCAAAATAAAAATGAAGAGGCCTAGTAATATAGCTCAGTAGTAGAGTGCCTGCTTGGCATGCACAGGACTCCAGGTTCAATCTCAAAATACCTTTACCCCAAAAGGGAAGGGAGGCTCAAAGAGGTCAGTGGCCTCAGGCTACCAGTAGGCACAGTGGTTCAGGTGACATAGGAAGTGGGCTGGCTTTCCCCAGCCTTGTGCTCTTTACTTATCCCTCATTGAGATAGCCTCCAGGAAGGTCTCATAACCCTGGGGTCCTTTCTTCTGACACCTGGCTAGAGCTGTTGTGTGTGTGCCACACCACCTTCACTCATGCAGCCAGAGCCCAGCTTCATGCTAGTTACTAGTACCTCCCTATGTGTACTCGGTGCTCTGCATCCAGGCAGTGGTGACCAGAGGTGTTAGATTGATGGGGCTGATCCCTTACTCTGGGGCCAGGCTGGGAGACAGGCTCAGAGCTGTACTCATGTGAGGGAAGAAGAGAGCCCCACCAGAGTCTTCCTGTAGGAGTGGACCAGGCCTTTGCTTCCCAAGTTCCCTCTTCCACGGGTTTGCACTGAGGGAGCCCAGGCTCTTCTCTGGAAATTTTGGAGCCCACAGATGCATCTCATCTGTCTTCTGACCCCATTGGTAGGTTGTGCCGACAGCGGCAGAAGCAGGCCCAGAAGAGTCCATCACTGTGGCCCACATCGTGGTGGAGGCCACTTCTCTGGCAGCAGATATCAGCCATACTCCTGACCTTGTTGGTAAGCCAATTGTCCACTGGTGGCCCTCAGCTCTGAGCCATCCCTGACTTGATGGCCTCCTGTAGTCAGGGCTGGATGATCTCTACTGCCCACATCTCGGCTCTCAAGAGCAAGGCCACAGAGGGGCCCGTGCCTTGGGTAAGCCCTCCCCTAGGCAGGCCCTGTAGGAGGAGGGTGCAGCAGCCACCAGGCTCTGCTAGGAAGGGGAGCCATGACATTGTTCACAGCCCTGGAATATTTACAGGCATTGGGAAGCATTCAGTTTGTGCACTGTCATAAATTAATCTCTCTTGCGTGCTTTCGCTGTCCTGATCTTCAGAGCATCTTCACTTCTCTGCCAACCAACCGGTTCCTGCTTCCTGTTCCTAGGCAGTACCTTTCAGTGTATCTCTGCATGGTCCACTTGCCCCAACAGTTGGCTTTGGAGGGTCAGTGGGGTGGACAGGGTGCCCCTGCTGCTTCAACTGACCCCGACTTGCTCCTTGATCTTGGCTTTCATCCTTTGTTGCTTGATTACATTGGCATGGGGATTACTGCCCTCATTCTTGCTGGGCTTTTATGAGCATACGACGCCAAGCCTCTTTAATGGCTGTGCTTTAAATTTAAGTGCCTCACTGATGTATAGTGGGAGAAGGGATGCTGAGAGACTTGGATTGGGTCAGGTGCTCATTGGAGTTCACTGAGTATGCAGGGGGCATTCAGAGGGCATCCTGTGTTTGAAGAGGTAGAGGTGCCAGAGACTAATTCTAGGAAAGGGATGAGTGGTTGAGTGTGCAGATGCCAGGGGAGGGTAATGGGGTTGAGCCCAAAGTGGTGTGAAATTGGGAAGGGAATGATCATTGCCCAGTAGGGACCAAGGCAGGTGGGTGAATGGGCAGGTGGACAGGAAGTAATTGGGGCAGTGTGTAGAACTTGGCCTTGGGAGGCTATGGGGATTGCCTGGGGCAGGAAGAGGAAGGATCTATTGAGAAAACCAACTTTGAGCTTGGGAAGGGAGACTGAGCACATTAGCCTCTCCAAGGAGTCGCCTAGACATCTATCCTGGTCTCCACTGCCTTTCTCAGTGTTCCTGCAACAGAGAGACTCACCTCTTGCCACTCAGGTTTAGGAATGTTGTTATGTGGGGGTGGGACCCTGCTCCTGACCTGGCACAGACCTTAGTTTCTGTGGTGGGTGGTGTATTTGGGAAAACAGGTTCACTGGGTTCTGGTGTATAAGCGGGCCCGGCCAGCTGGGCCCCTTTTCCACCTACTCCTAACCTCTGATGGTTTTAAGTTTTTGCTTTGTACAGTAGCCTGTTTGTACTTCAGGGACCCTCTTTGGGCACCCTCTGCCTCTGCTGTACTCTTTGCAGGCATTCTGGGCAAGCTGGAGCCAGGAGCTGCTTGTGGTGGCTGGATATCAGCTCTAGGCCCTTTGCCTCTGGTCTACACACAAACTTGAGTTTCCTCTTGGGCTGGTACACCTGTGTTCCTCCACCCATCAGGTCTCTGTCCTCTGTCTAGGGTGTTGAGCTAGAGTACAGGTGAGAGATGCCTTTAATTGGTTTTGAGTCACAGTGCTATTCATTGTTTTGAGAGAATGGCTTGTCAAAACAAGACCAGCTGTATGGAGATGGTTTCTAAGAAGTGGCTTCACAAATAGTTCCCACTTGTCACTTTTATGAGCAGAAAATGTCAAGTGTGTTTACAGCATAGCTTTGCACATTGTTAGATTTGTTCAGCACCCTGTGTGAGGTGGAAAAACCTGACTTCATTTCCTTGGGCCATCTCAGATGTCTGATGTCCTCATTAGGTCTGGGCAGGGATCTGGATTGGACAGACAGCCCAGCCAGTGAGCAGCCCGCAGAGCCATTTTTCCTTTATATTGGTGTGAGTGGGGGCAGTCAGCAGGAAAGATGCAGGGAGCTGAACTAGGATGTGTACTTTCTCTCTGCCTGAGCATCCTGTTGCAGAACATCCATGTCTTAGCTTAGGGGATAGTGTTTACTCGGGTTAGGTGTCCACAATGGGCACAGTCTGGGGGCCCTGAGCTTCAGGCAGCTGTACTGAATTAGAGGTGTTAAATCCCACCCTGTCAGGCTGCCTTTGGGGGCTAATGCATGGATTTTCCCAGTGCAAGTTGGATCCAGCTTCCAGACCCTAGGGCAAGGGTGATGTATGGTCTAGATAGTTCCATGGCCTCCAGTGGTCCGAATTGGGACCCCTGTGGGTAGGTCTTGAGGCTTATGTTAACTTACCTCTCCTTAGGAAGTGGGCATATCAAAGAGGTCATTGTGGCTGCTGAGGCAGAGCAAGGGGATGGCGACATGGCAGAGGCCCCAGGCAGTCCTAACCATCAGGAGCTTGGGCTTGTTGGGGAGGGCGAGCAGGCCCAAGTCAAGCTGCTGGTAAACAAGGAAGGCCGCTATGTATGCATGTTATGTCACAAGACCTTCAAAACGGTAAGCCCCTGTAGCCCTTGACTAACTAGCTCCCTTGCTTCCTACCACCAAAGGAGGTGCCCTGAGCCTCACTGCACCTCCCCAACAGGGCAGCATCCTCAAAGCCCACATGGTCACTCATAGCAGTCGCAAGGACCATGAGTGCAAGCTCTGTGGGGCCTCCTTTCGGACCAAGGGTTCACTCATCCGGCATCACCGAAGGCACACTGGTAAGCAACCTGAGAGTTGGAGCCACACACTAACCTGCTGGCAGGCTCTGGGGGACAACCTATAGCTGGCCTGTGTCCTCATGTGAAGAGAGACAGGGAATCCATGCTAGGACATTGTCCATTCTTTACCATGGGCCAACTGTTTTCTCCACAGATGAGCGCCCTTACAAGTGTGCCAAATGTGGAAAGAGCTTCCGGGAGTCAGGTGCACTGACGAGGCATCTCAAGTCTCTCACTCCATGCACAGAAAAAATTCGCTTCAACATGAGCAAGGACACGGTTGTGGGCAAAGAGGAAGTACCTGCAGGTCAGCCTGGTGAGGAGCTGCCCAAGTTTTCAGTGCTGTTGTTCCCAGCATTAGCTGCCAGGCTCATCATGGGCTCTGCCTTAAAGGGTCCAGTGACTCCACTGTGGGGACAGTTCCACCATCCTCAGTGACAGGAGAACCCATGGAAACATCACCTGTGATCCACCTGGTGACAGATGCCAAGGGCACCGTCATCCATGAAGTCCATGTCCAGATGCAGGAGCTGCCCTTGGGCATGAAAGCCCTGGCTCCAGAGGTAGGGGCTTCTCTGCCCTCTGCCTGCTCTGCTTTCAGACACTGGTGTCAGCAGGACCAGGACAGACTTACACCTACCCCCTCTTTAGTAGATGGCATTCCACAAGGCAGGGAAGGGGCAGAGGAGAGTGAGCTGAAGTCTAGGGAGAAGGGGAGGGGGCTGGGCTTCCCTGAGTGAGAGCAAAGGCAACTGGCAGTGCACTGAGGGGCTCCTGGGTGGGTCTGTCATGAGTCTGCCATGTGGGGCGGCTGCGGGTAAGTGCCTGTGCTGGGCTTCCTGGCAGGCCTCCCTCCTCCTTTCCCTCCCTCTACCTCCCCTGCAGCCCCCAGGCCCAGAGGACCTTCCCTGTTCCAGTGAGAGCAACCGTGAGAACCTGCTACACCAGGCCATGCAGAATTCTGGCATCGTCCTGGAGCGGGTCACTGGGGAGGAGGGTGTCCTGGAGCCGGCCCCTCCCTCTGGGTCCAGTCCTCAGTCTCTGGGAGATGGATCCCCGGAACTGCCACTGCTGGAGGTGGACCAGATGGAGACAGTAAGTGTCTGGTGCTGGCATGTTCCTTCTCAGTGCCTGGTTATCACACTGGCCTGGGCTGCCAGCCTCCTCATGCAACAGAAAGTAGCATTTTTGTTTGTTTTGAGACAGGGTCTCATGTAGCCCTGGTTGGCCTGGAACTCACAGAGATTACCCTGTCTTTGCCTTTAAAGGCCTGTGCCACTCTACTCAGCTGTTTTTGCTTTTGTTTGAGACAGTCTTACATAGCCCAGACTGGCTTCCAGCTCCTTAATGTAGTCAGGGTTGGTGTGGAGCTCTTGGTCCTCCTGCCTACATCTCCCAAGTGCTGGGATTACAGGCCTGCACCAGCATGGGGCTAGAAAGCAGCATTGCTTCCTGCTGTAACTTTGCCCTCTGCTCTGTTGACTGCTTTTCCTGGGCCAGGAGGGAAGATGGCCACGGTCTTGTCTTTGGAATCATTGGGGCACAGCTTGCATTGGGTGCTAGAGGTCTGCCTGTGGTTCCCCAGCAGGTGGCCAGTGAGGCCTCAGCTGTGCCCAGGACGCACCTGTGCCCTCAGTGCAGTGAGACTTTCCCGACAGCAGCCACCTTGGAGGCCCACAGAAGAGGCCACGAAGGTGGGTAGGTCCGTGGGTAGGCAGCTGGGGGTCAGGTGGGCTGTGGGTGGTGGACCTGGCCTGATGTTGCATGTGGCCCCAGGGCCGAGGCCGTTCACCTGTACACAGTGTGGCAAAGCCTTCCCCAAGGCCTATCTGCTCAAGAAGCATCAGGAGGTACATGTGCGTGAGCGCCGCTTCCGTTGTGGAGACTGTGGGAAGCTTTATAAGACCATCGCCCATGTGCGCGGCCACCGGCGTGTCCACTCAGATGAGCGGCCCTTCCCTTGTCCCCAGTGTGGCAAGCGCTACAAGACCAAGGTGGGCCTCTCGTCCCTGGGTCCCGATGCGTGACCCCCGCCCTCCACTCCTCAGTCAGAGGGGCTGGCTATACCCCTTGCCTCTGCCACACCCAGAGGTGGGGAGTGGGTAGGAGGCTGCAGTCTTGTGGCTGAGGTCAGGCTGTCACAGACTGGGTCTCCCTAGATTGCCCAGCAGGTGCACTTCCGGACGCATCTGGAGGAGAAGCCCCACGTGTGCCAGTTCTGCAGCCGAGGCTTCCGGGAGAAGGGCTCGCTGGTGCGACATGTGAGGCACCACACAGGCGAGAAGCCCTTCAAGTGCTACAAGTGTGGCCGTGGTTTTGCAGAGCACGGCACACTCAACCGGCACCTGCGCACCAAAGGTCTGGGCCAAAGGTGGCAGGAGGGGGTGAGGGCTGGGATGGCCCGGCCCTGACTGAGCTCCCCGTTGGCAGGGGGCTGCCTGCTGGAAGTGGAGGAGTTGCTGGTGTCGGAAGAGAGCCCCTCGGCAGCTGCCACTGTGCTTGCAGAAGACCCCCACACTGTGCTGGTGGAGTTCTCGTCTGTGGTGGCTGACACCCAAGAGTACATCATTGAGGTGGGTGTGGGGCTGCTGGGGCAGGGATGCATTTGCGTCAGCACAGGCTGACTTCTGACTGTTTCCCCAGGCCACTGCAGATGACACAGAGACCAGTGAAGCCACAGAGATCATCGAGGGCACCCAGTCTGAGGTGAGAGTCTGGGTGAAGTGTGGCAATGTCGTCTGACCACTGAGCAGCCCCCGAGTCTGAGCCACGGTCTTTGCAGGTGGATAGCCACATCATGAAGGTGGTGCAGCAGATTGTGCACCAGGCTAGTGCTGGCCACCAGATCATTGTGCAGAATGTGACTATGGACCAGGAGGCAGCGCTGGGCCCAGAGGCAGCTGCTGCCGACACAATCACCATTGCCACTCCTGAAAGCCTTACAGAACAGGTGGCCATGACACTGGCTTCAGCTATCAGCGAGGGCACTGTGCTTGCAGCCCAGGCAGGTACAAACAGTACTGAACAAGCCACTGTGACAATGGTATCATCTGAGGACATTGAGATCCTGGAGCATGGAGGCGAGCTGGTCATTGCCTCACCAGAAGGCCAACTTGAAGTGCAGACGGTCATTGTATAGCATGGGATCCTATGGGGTCCCTGCAGGGCTACACGGAAGACAGCCCAGAAGTTTAGACATCCAAAGGAGATCGAATGTGTGAATATGCAAAATTTTCTTGTTGCTTTACAATAAAACATAAAAACCTTCAGCTTGTGATGTTGGGATAGAGGCCACTTCTGGGGCTGGTACTACTGTCATAAGTACCCTCTGGACATACCTGCCTGCACAGGCCACCCTCTAAACATACACCTGGCTACAGCCCTGGTGGTACCTTAAGGGTGTGTGGGTGTCTCTGGCATGCTGATGTACAGCCTCTTGATGCTGCCCTACCCAGCTGGATCTGTGACTCCAGCTTCCTCGGCCCTGTCAGGATGTAAAGTGCTCTTTCTCAATATCTGACTGGGGCTGCCAGGGATTTGGGGATTGGTCTACAAACCTAGGACTCTGGGTCAGCCTGGCCAGGTGAAGCTTTTCCCTGAGATGAACTGGAATTGGAGAAACAGCAGGAGATGCCAGACCAGGGTAGGGCTGGTCTTTCCTGATTTGTCAGCCTGTTTCCCTAAGGGGATGCAGCTCGAGGCAGATTCTGGGCCATCTAGTTTCCAAGAATGAGGCTGGCCATGAACCTGGCTGCCTCTCATGTAGTGCTGAGGCTGTTCTGGGAATCTTCCAGGTGTTTCTGCCATGGTTCTAGGTCAGTGGAGCTGGCTTAGCATCTGCCATGTTCCTTGCTCTTTCCGGTCTTTGTGGATTGAAAACTAGGAGTTATGGCATCTACTCTGTGGAAGGGGTGTGTCCCAGTATAGTCCAGCCCCTCCCTGGACCAGGGCCTCATATACCTGTGGGCGTTTTGGAATCAACTGCTGTAGGACCAAGACTGCATTTCATCTTGGGCCACAACAGTTCCCCAGTCTGGACTCTTGATTCCCACCTGCCTAGGATCTGTGAGTTTCTGACATCACCTCAATCATAGCCCAGGTACGTCTAGGGGCTGGGCTGAGCTGAGCTGGGGCAGGATGGGAATAGAATCCTTCCATTCTTGGAATGAGAGATCCTCCCCTCCTTGCTCTGGGAAGACATGGAGAGTATATGGGTGTAGGCCAGCACTGAATACTAGACGCAGCTGACTATGCTCTGGCTGGCATGGGTCAGTGTTACTCAGACATGCCTGTCCCCAGGCTTTCTACTTTGGTATGGATTGGCCCCGGGCCCTATTAACAGTACTCTGGGCTCTGTGGGCCACTGGGGCTACTGCGCTGCGCATTGGAGCCTTCAACATCCAGAGCTTTGCTGACAACAAAGTGTCAGATCCGGACTGTGGCAGCGTTATAGCACAGGTAAGGCCCAGCATGGAGGCGTTGGGGAGTGGGCACACACGGATCACCAGCTAGGCTCCATGGGTGAGTAGATGCAAATTTGGGTTCTTCCCCCAGATCCTAGCTGGCTATGACATCGCCCTGGTGCAGGAGGTCCGGGACCCAGACCTGAGTGCTGTCTCCCTGCTCATGAAGAAAATTAACAGGTGTGGAAGGCAGGACTCAGCGCGGTGAACCCAGTCACTATCAGGCTTGTTGTGGTGCCTTAACCCAGGGCCTGGCTCCTCTCTCCACAGCGTGTCCAAGCATGAGTACAGCTTTGTGAGCAGCAAGCCGTTGGGACGAGACCAATACAAGGAAATGTACCTGTTTGTCTACAGGTGAGGGGCGGGCCACAGGGAAGGGATGTACCAGGCAGAGATGGCCAGTTCCACAGACTACCTGATCCTCTGCTCACAGGAAAGATGCAGTGTCAGTTGTGGACACGTACCAGTATCGCGACCCTGAGGATGCCTTCAGCCGCGAGCCTTTTGTGGTCAAGTTCTCAGCCCTCAGCGCTGGTGAGGTTGACTCCGCCCCCAGCCCCGCCCATTCCAGGCTTATCGCTCCCCTTACACTCCCCACCTTCCGTAGCCATGAAGGAGCTGGTGCTGATCCCGCTGCACGCAGCGCCCCACCAGGCCGTGGCAGAGATCGATGCTCTCTATGATGTGTACCTGGATGTGATTGACAAGTGGAGCACTGATGTAAGGGTCGGCCCCAAACCCATGTCTCTGGATATTGGAGGCACACTTTTGTGTCCGGGGGAGGGGAGGTGGGGCTGGACCACTGAGCACAGCTGAGATCTATAATGCCTTGCCCATAGGACATGCTGTTCCTGGGTGATTTTAATGCCGACTGCAACTACGTGAGAGTGCACGACTGGGCGTCAATCCGCCTGCGAAGCAGTGAGATCTTCAAGTGGCTCATCCCTGACAGTGCGGACACCACAGTAGGCAACTCAGACTGTGCTTATGACCGAATTGTTGTATGTGGCTCCCGGCTGCGGAAGAGTGTGAAGCCCCAGTCAGCCACAGTTCATGACTTTCAGGAGGAATTTGGCCTAGACCAGACCCAGGTGAGTATAGAATGGGGCTTGTGATGATGGATCCAGCTATCTAGTCCTGTAGGACATGCTAGCTTTGGAAGGTGAGAGGGCCCACGGACAGTCACTTCCCTTCAGCAAAGGTGCTTACAGCCAAGGATCCCTAGAGTGCCAGTCCCCTCAGAGGGGACAGTTGGCCTTTTTATTCCTGCCATATGGGGGCACATTGAGACCCCTGTAACACTTGAAGGCAGCATCAGGGGTGGACACCCAGACCTCACTGCCCCCTTTTCAGGTGGGGACAGCCAGAGGACAGGTTGCCCTACAGAGTTGCTGAGGTTTCACCATTCTCCTTCCAGGCTCTTGCCATCAGCGACCATTTTCCTGTGGAAGTGACCCTCAAGTCTCACTGACAGCTGAAGCATGGTCAGGACATACCACCTGCAGATCCTGACCACAAGGAATGGTCCCATAATGGATCATTCATGGTAGCAGGCCTCCCACTCATTGAAGATGCAGGGAAGGATCAGCTGGTGTGGACCAATGGCCCTGGACACATTACAGGATTACTCAGAGTCAATGTCCTCATCTCTAAGATGGGTTAACACCACCTACCTCATAGGGTTATTGTGAGGAGGAGTACCTGTAAAGGGTACCAGAGCAGTGCCTGGCATACATCAATGTACTTAATAAACAAGCCACTCTTGGCTAGGACTACACACAGGTTGGCTGAGGCCTCTGTTTTCTGAGGCCCCTGTCCTTACTACCCTTCTAAGTATACAAGCCCAGTGAGTCTGTTACCTTTGCTCTGAGAGTATAGGATGGCCTAGTCTGCCCACCTCATATCCTGGGGGAGCTAGCCACTTCCAGACCATGCTGGCCTGGCCCTATTCTTGTTTCCTCTGTGCAAACTGCAGATGCTGCCATGGCCTCATGGACCTGTGAATTTCAGAACAGGCCAGTAACAAACTTGCTCTCAGGGATCCTAAGACTAATCTAAATCAGAGGCTGTTGTCTCCTAGCACTTCAAGAGGCCCTCAGGGAAACTGGGCCTATGTCCCAACCAGTCAGCTCTTCTGGGATCTCCGGGGAGTGCCACAGCAAGGGCAGCTACCCAGAGCCTACACCCTTACCAGGGCTGTGTAGTTTCCTCACTAAAAACTTGGGTTCAACAAGGACTTAGAGGATGGGGGGCTTTGAGCTCAGATGGGTTATCACCTTTGGAGCAGGAAGCAGCTCTGTGAGCACAAGGCCTTCATGAGGTTTCTGGTTAAAACATCTATTTGTACCAGGCACGGTGGCGCATGCCTTTGATCCCAGCACTTGGGATGCAGAGGCAGGCAGATCTCTGTGAGTTCAAGGCCAGCCTGGTCTACATAGTGAGTTCCAGGACAGCTGGGGCTACAGGGAAACCCTGTCTCAAAAAGACCAAAAAAAAAAAAACCCCAAACCCCCCATCTATTTTTTTTTTGTGTGTGTGTGTGTGTGTGTGTGTGTGCAGGCCAGAGAGGTAATCCATCTTGTTTTGAGAAAGGGTCTCTCACTAGAACTCACTAATCAGGCTAGACTGGATGGTCAATTAACCCCAGGGATCTGCCTGTGCAGTAATGGGACTACAAGTGCACACAACCATGCTCGGCTTTTTATGAGGATGCTGGGATTGAACTCAGGGTCTCATGATAGCATGATAAACACTTTAAAGACTGAGTGATCCTCCTAGCCCAAGGAACAGAGTGTTTTAAGATAGAACAAAAGCTAAGAGCTTTTAAGTGGAAAAAATATCTTGTCTATAACCCACTTGGGGCCAGTGGGTCCCTGGAAGGCACATGTGAGTGAACACCCAAGCGCAGCCTTGCTTTAGCCTTTCTTTTGCTTGAGCTTTTCTAAGTACGTGTGCAGGGACTTCTGGATGGAGTCTCTGGAAATGAAGCTGACGAAATTCTGGATGTCAGCCTCCCGCTGCTTGATCAGGTTGTCTGCCATGGCCTTTTGCATCATGTTCTTGTTCAGCTGTCAAGAGTGGTCTAAGGAAAATGGTGTTACCTGTGACACTCACCTTCAGAGGCAGTGGGGCCTTTAACAAGTTCTTCAAGTATTCAAACACAAACTCTGGTAGAGAGTTTAGAAAATCACAGATAAAATGGAGTGTGGTGGCTCATGCCTGTAATCCTGCATTTGGAAAGCTAGGATGGGACAGGGAGTCCAAGGCCACCCTTATCTCAATAAACAAAAATAAATAACAGGTAAAAACAGATAGGATACTGTACAAATTGTTTTGTTTTATGAAGATAGTATCTCGGTCTATTGCCCAGAGTGGCTTTGAACAACTCCATCATGCCTGGCTCTCAATATTGGCTCTTTTGTGTCATTTTTGGGGCTGGGGACACAGTTCAGTGGTAGAGCACTTGTCTAGCATGCACAAGGCTCTGGGTTCAAGCCCCATCACCCCAAATAACAAATGTGTCATTTCCATTTTTTTTAAAAAAGCATTTTTCGGGGCTGGAGAGATGGCTCACTGACTGCTCTTGCAGAAGACCTGGGTTCGAATCCTAGCATCCACATGGTTGCCAACAACCCATAACTCCAGTTCCAGGGGATCTGATGCCACCTTCTGACCTCCTCGGACATTGGATGACAGAGGTGCACTTACATACATTCAGGCAATACACTGATACACATAAACTAAAAATAGTAAATTAAAAAAATTTTTTAAAGATTTTTCTTTTCAAAAAATATTTTCAGTTGGGCATGGTGGCACACACCTTTAATCCCAGCACTCAGGAGGCAGAGGCAGGTGGATTGATGTAAGATCAGGCCAATCTGTTCTACATTATCAAATTCCATGCCAGCTAGGGATACAGGGAGATCCTATCTCAAAAAGGCAAAAAAAAAAAAAATTCATTTTATATGTATGAGTGTTTTGCCTGCATGTGGACCACTTGTGTGCAAGACCCACAGAGGCCAGAAGAGGGTATCAGATCCCCTGGAACTGGATTGTTGTTAACTACTATGTGGGTGTTGGGAACTGAACCTTGGTCCTCTGCAGGAGCAATAAAAGCTCTTAACTGATGAGCCATTTCTCCTGCCTCCAAGATTTATTTTTATGTGTATGTGTATGTCTGTATGAGTGTATGCCAAGTGTATGTGGATAGCCAGAGGCCAGAAAAGGGCATCCAATTCCCTGGAGCTGGAATTGAAGACAATCATAGCTACTGGAATTGGGTGCTGAGAACCAAACTCAGGTCCTCTGGAAGAACAGGAATTATATTTCTGACAAGATTTTTCATGTCACTAAATACTCATTAGTGCATATCAGGGACTGGAAAACTGGCTCCCCAAGAGAGGAGGGTTGCCAGGAGGGCATGCTCAACTGGCTGATTGAAATATAAATGATTTTTACATTTTTAAATAGTTGAAAAAAAGCTGGGTGTGGTGGCACATGCCCTTAATTCCAGCAGAGGCAGTTGGATCTCTGTGAGTTCAAGGCCAGTCTACATAGTGAGTTCCAGGCCAGCTGGGGCTACAGGGAGACCTTGTCTCAAAAAGACCAAAAGAAAAGAAAAATAGTTGAAAAAGTGTCAAAAGGATACTTCATGACACGTGGGAAATACATGACACTCAAGTTTGGGTATCTTAGCTGGACATGGTGGTACATGCCTGTAATCACAGCATTTAAAAGGTGGAGGCAGGAGGACTATAAATTTGATCCTGAGATAAGTGATTGCTGCAGGGTAGTTGTAACTATATAGTGAGACCCTGTCTCAGAAAAACAAAGCAAAAACCAAGAAATCTCAGTGACCTGGGGTACAGCCATGCTGGCCAGTTGTGCTTCTGGATGCCCTCCTGCTCAAGAGCCACACTCAACATTTACCTCATGACCTGTGGAGCTGACCCCTATTCCTTATCATCATGGATATGACTGCTCCATTTCTTTTTCAAATTTTCTTTTTTGGTCTTTTTTTTGAGACAGGGTCTCCCTGTAGCCCCAGCTGTCTTGGAACTATGTAGACCAGGCTGGCCTTGAACTCACAGAGATCCACCTGCCTCTGCCTCCTGAGTGCTGGGATTAAAAGTGTGTGCCACCACACCCAGCTATTTTTTAAATTTTTTAAAAATTATTTTTATTTTATCTGTTTAAGTGTATTGCCTGCATATATGTAAATGCACCTGTGTCATGCAGTGCCTGAGGAGGTCAGAAGAGGGTGTTGGATGTCCCTGGAACTGAAGTTATGGACGGAGTTGTTAGCTGTCAATGTGGGTACTAGGAATCGAACCTGGGTCCTCTGCAAGAGCAGCCAGTGCTCTTAACCACTGAGCCATCTCTCCAGCCCCCTAGCTCCGTTTTTTTAAGCAGGTTTCCAATTGTCTTTGCCATGGGTTGAATAGCCACAGGAGCTACTTTTCAAAAGATTTGTCTGAGTTCTGATCACCCTTCTGGAACCTATATATATGGCCTGATTTAGAAAAAGATAAATATAGGCAATATACTCATACACATAAAATAAAAATAAAATATTTTTGATACAGGCTCGAATACTAAGTCCCATGTTCCCAAAGGAGCCCACAGTCATGTTCTCGGGCATGACAGTCTGGATGCCACACTTCTGTCTCAGTCTATCTTTCTGGTCCATCCGTTCAGATACATCTGGTCCAGAGGCAGGAGGCGGGTTCTGTGGTGGTTCAGTCAGGCCTACCTGGCTTAGGTAGGTAATGGTTTTAGAGGAGATACAAGATTCTAGAAAGCAATCACTGAGGCCCACCTGAGCATAAACTGGGGAAACCAGGTAGATGGGGTTACCCTGCAGGCTAAGCCCCAGAAAGGTAAGAGAGAAGTAGGAAATAGTCTCATCTGCCTTGCAGTAATGCTTTTGTCATTAACAAAATTGTCTGAACAAGCAATTCCCATAGTATTTTAACATTTAACATGATAGGGAATCTGGGAGCTAGTGAGATGACTCAGGTTAAGAGTGCTTGCTGCTCTCGTAGAGGACCAGTTTTCGGTTCACAGTACTCAAGTCAGGTGGCTGCCCACAACCACCTGTAACTCCAGCTCCAAGGGATCTGATTCCCTCTTCCAGTGTCTACAGGCAACTCTATGCATGTGTACATGCACATACACACACATATACACACACACAGAATCAAAAATAAAATGAATCTTTTTTTTTTTCTTTTGGTCTTTTTGAGACAGGGTCTCCCGATAGCCCCAGGTGGCCTGGAACTCCCTATGTAGACCAGGCTGGCCTTGAACTCACAGAGATCTGCCTGCCTTTGCCTCCCGAGTGCTGGGATTAAAGGTGTGTGCCACCATGTCCAGCTTAAAATGAATCTTTAAATCTTTAAACAGGTAATATGTTTTCCTTTTACACAGAACTAGAAAACTTAAAAATAAATAGGAACAAAATATTTAAGAAAATACCAACCCTAAATACTATCCTATAGGTTCCAAGGATTCTGACCCAGTGGCTGGGCCAAATCCTCATTAGGAATGAACTTTAAAATGTCCTGAGATTTCCAGGTGTGGTGGACAGCTGGGGCTACAAGTCTCAAGAAAGAAAAAAAAATGTCCTGAGATGGGGCTGAAGAGATGACTCAGCCATTAAGAGTCCTGGTTGCTCTTGCAGAGGACCTGGGTTTGATTCCCAGCACCCACATGTTGGCTAACAACCATCTGTAACTCCAGTTCCAGGGAATCTGATGCCTTCTTCTGATCTCCACAGGCATTGCATGACACGGGTGCACCTATCTACATGCAGACAATAAACTCATACACATAAAATAAAATTAATAAATTTAAAAATATCCTGAGAGTGTTTGTGATGTAACCCAATTAAACAGGCCATAGGTAAAACCCTATACCCAAACCCTCTTCCTCTCCGTTGTTGATCTTCCACCTCAGTGGTTGGCAAACCTGTTCTATAAAGGTGTCAGCACATATGTTCAGCTTTGCAGGCCACAAAGTCACTGTCACAAGTAGTCAATAGGAAGGCAGCCACAGTTATAGAATGTATACAGTCGTGTCAGAAGAAACTATGGGGCTTGGAGAGATGGCTCAGTGGTTAAAAGCACTTGCTCTTCTTCCAGAGGATATGAGTTTGGTTTCCAACACCCATGTTGGATGCTCACACATATACTAAAGTAAGTAAAATTAATGGTTGGTTGCTTTTTTTGAGAGGTCTCCCTATAGCCCCAGCTGTCCTGGTACTTGATATGTAGACCAGGCTGGCCTTGATCTCACAGAGGTCCACCTGCCTTTGCCTCCCAAGTGCTGGGATTAAAGGTGCATGCCATGATGCCTAGTCCAAGTAAAATGTAACAAAATATTTTTAAAATATATTCTTTAATATTTTATTTTTTATTTTATGTGTATGAGTATATTGCCTGCATGTATGTGAGTGTACCAGTGTTGTACAGTGCAGGTAGAGGTCAGAGAGGGCATTGGATCCCCTGGAACTGG